TCTACAGCACTAAATGAAAGCGGGCAAACAACAACCTAATGATGAATAGTTTCATTGCCTCATCAATCACTCATTAACAAAAAAAGCAATTGCTTTAGCATATTATCAGGGCTAAAATATATATTCCTTTTGATTCGTCCATGCCTCTTGACAGTTAGCCCCAGTAAAGTTGACATTAAACAACAACTAGTTAACAATGATACCCTAACAACATTTAGCTATTCATACTTTTTAAGCAATTAGTCTCAAAAAGCGATTAAATTATTTTCATCATGTATTCATCGAAGGTTTCCCAATCTTAAAAGCATAGTATACTACCTCCAAATCTTTTATGAGAAGAGAAAGATAACCAACTTTGTCTACAAAGAATATTTATGAGTGCTAAATCCTACTAAATCTCGATCAGTTCATAGGCAAGGTTTTTACTCTTCTAGCATCCCGGTTATTTACCTCATTACCTGACTTCTTTTGTTAAAAAGTAATCAGTCTAAATACAACGAGGATGTTTCTTGGTGTTGCGGAAACCATATTGCTGGTTCGGTTTTTTATATTTTGTGGTGTAGTGTGGGTATTGTCCTATGTCTTTAAATCTTTTGTATTACGTCATGGTGATTGTACCCGTACACAACACCAAGAAACTACAATACAGATGCCCCTTATTCAATTTATAATTTGTAAATATGAGAGTTTTCTTTTCCCCAGAGATTCGATGTTTCCCGGAAAGTACTACCATCGGTGCCAGAGGGTTCTCTCCTTCCAAATTTCTGATATTTCTGTGCGCACGGGTTATATCATCCTACTGTCGGCTAGGTATTTCGAGAACGGACCACTGGAACCAGGGTAAAAGAAGAACGAACTTGAGGAGGGGAAGCCCAAGGCTAGCAAAACACAAAACTTACTGGCTTTCGAGTTTCTAACTGAAAAACTTCGCTGAGTAAAGGTCCAAATTAACACAATGTATCATAGGAATGCAGGCAGACCAGCAATTGAATTCATTTAAGGCCCCGAGTTTAATGACAGTCGGTATTGATTTCAAGGGAAAGGTTCGGCTGTTTCTTTAACAAAATGAAAATGAAGACCTCACTCTAGCGTTGTGTTTTCTCACTGCACTTGTTATCATCAACGGAGTCTTAACTATATACAGTGGAACCCTATTAAAATGACCTTCCTTGGGCCATGCAAATCCGGTCATATTGATTTGACTATCAGTCTGCTGGATATCAGACAGGAGTGGCGATATCTAGGAAATTTTTATCGAAGAGGTACAAACATACATGGCCACACTTTGAAACCGTTATTATTTTGTTCACACTACCGGGGCATTAAACATGGTTCCTGGCGCAGTCAAAGTACGTCATTTAGACGATCCTTTACCAAGGACATGAAGTACATATTGATGTCGTTGAATGCTGTCGGGAGGGGAGAAATGGGGCGAAACTGGGTCGGGAGGAGGCAGATTTGGCCCGAGGTGACCTCCTTCTTGGAAAAGACAGCATTTGTCGTCAACAATGACAAAAATTTTAGATTTCATACTCACTGCCTTCACAAATACTAATTTTTCCTCGCCATCCTTTTTCTTCAAGAAAGGCAATTCGGAACCACTTTTCCAATCCTTCTGAACCGAACTATATCTCTGAGGTGCATCTGAATCGCTAAATACATATATATGTTCATTGACGGAACACAAAAAACCTACAGATACGTGACTACCCTGAAAACGAGGGAGGGTTTCCCATACATTACTAAAGGGGTCATAACGATAGATAACAACGGCGCCGCCAAGAGCTGCTATAGTCGCCGTATTATCGCTCATGACTTTTGTTGGCGCTGCCCAATTCTTTTGCCGCTACATACAAATAATTACCAACAACTTCTGCACAAATGCATTCATTTGCCTTATCTAATGTTGCCATTGAAGGAAACGATCTCCATGATTGTATTTCACCGTCGAAATACTGCGATTTAGTGGGAATGAAACCTTCCTTCCTCTGCCCCCGCTGTAGCAGCTGTCTAAACGGGTTGCATCGACAAGGAAAAATCGCAACAAGTACCTGAAACAAGGAAGAGCAGCAAAAATAGATTCAGGCTGGTGGAGAAGGCTAAAATGTCCTCTCTAAATATGGTAGCAGTATACACCTGTTTGAATAAAGACAATAAACGTTATCGCTTGAAAAGTATAACCATGAGCGATGGAACTTAATGGATTTATGGGTAGAAAAAAAAAGGCTTTATTAGAATTGCAAATTTAAAGTTCTACCCAGAAAAGTTTGCATTATCGAAGCTTTTCGGGACGATGCATTTCAAAAAAGGTCAAAAGGTTTCAAGTTTTCCTGGCAATAAGCATACAACTTCATTTGTGCAGGGCACATCAGAGATCTCTACCTAAAGAGTGTAGCCATATCACCAACGCATACTTGAAAATTATATAAAGATAGGACCTAAAAGCTTTCTTGGAAGACATTAAAAGACAACGGTATCTGTACGAGCAGCTAGCTCGTGACAATGTAAACTTTTGTTAAAAGAACTTTGAATTTGCTTTGCTAACGAACGTATACCCATCAATCCTTGAAACCTCATCGTTCATGGTTTATACTTTTTAAGCCACGACGTTTTTTTAGTCAGGTGTAAATAAAAAAAAATATACTGTGCGTGAGTATCTTAACGATTAAGAGCTATCATGTGTAAGGGACTCTACAAATAAATTTTAAAAATGTCCCATTACCAAGAACCAACTACATAAAAAGGAGCCATAGCTATGGAACAGTCTACCCTGCAATGTAAGGCGAGTGAAATCTCTAAATCGTTTAGGCAATTGTTAAACCTTCATTTTAGTTAATAAAGTTAGATACACGGCATTCATGGAAAACAGGTTTAGTTTCAGCTGTAGTTTATTGTAATTATGAGTAGCATTTTTACTGAAGATACTTTTTAGATATGATACGTATTTATTGTTATTAGAAATTATTATGTAGTTGTATTTTATATTGAATTTTTACCGTGTTAAAACAAAGATTTGAGATTGAGATTGAGATTGAGATAATAAAATGTGAACTTGCGTTATTCAAAGCGTACCTAACAACCCCCGCACACCATGGGAGTTCAGTTTACGGACCATCGTCCCAATACCTAATAAAGTATAAAGATCGCCAGGGAGGCATGTTCGAGGGTTCGATTAAAGACAACGAAGATATAAATACTGACAAGCAGCTCGTGAAGGAAAGGCATTGTCCTCAGTCCTAATATAAAATCACCCCTCGACAGAACTCGTCAACATTCAGAAATGCGTCTCGATATCGGCTCTAAACCCACAGGACCAGATGTCAGAGCGTATAACAATTTGAGACTAGTTGAGTCTCGTAGACCTCATAATTAATCCTAAAATTCCTCAGGACCCTAACATATGCCACAAGTGTTCCCCAAATAAAGAAGGGAATGAAATTAATTTCCTATTATAATAATAATAATAATAATAATAATGATGATGATGATGATGATGATGATACTTTAATTATCCTCTCCCCTTATGGTGCTTTTCGAAGATAATTGAAACAAATAATTAACAATTGTTGGACGAGGTTGAGCAAAATATCGTGATTTGTCTGTGGCGAGCAGATCAATTATTCGGCTTCGGAATCTTTAATTGTTTTATCATTCAATCACCGAGTTTGTTTTTTTAATGAATATCCTTGGGAAGCGAAGCGATCTGCCATTTTCACGTTAGAGCGATCGTAAGAAGGAGAAAAGTACGGTTTCCTTTACGCATGAGCAGAATATTATTTGCAGCCAAACACTGTTGGATGACATTGCACATGAGCAGACCTATTTGTAGGCAGTTATTTGCAGGTCACGTGGTGGGCTCTCGGCCAATGAAAAGAAAGAAAAATTTTCTTCGAATGATAATTTAAATTACCATTCGTTGGAAATTTTTCTTCCTTTTCATTGGTTGAGAGCCCACCACGTGACCTGCAAATAACTGCCCACAAATACTGGTCTGTGCAATGTCGTCCATTTTTGTTTAGCTTCATGCCTGACTGCGAATAATATTCTGCCCATTCGTAAATGAAACCACGCTTTTCTCCTTCGCTTCCTGAAGATATTCATTTAAAAAGAAAACAAACTCCGGCTGTGATCGAATGATAAAACAATTCTTGAACTCGGTTATTGCTTCGGCAAATAATTGATCTCCTTGCCACTGGCAAATCACGATATTTTGCTCAACCTCGTCCAGTAATTGTTAATTGTACACAACACAGTTAAAAACGAACTGGAAGGAGGCGATCCAGTTGGCTATTTTACGAGCACTGAAGAGAACAAATCCAGCTAGCGATTAGGGCGGGGGACTTGGCTCGGGGCATCCGAATTACAAGTCCAGCACTCTAACCACTCGGCCACACTGCCTCCTACTTTACATTTTAAAACATTTGCATAAGAAAACTGTTGTAAAACTTCCGTGATTTCAGTGAACATGAATATTTAAATTAAAGTTATATACTATATTTCTTTTAAATAATGAAGACCCACTTTTTAACTACGAAGCATTCGTCTTTAAACCAAGTACTCGATTAGACAAAATCCTCGAAATCAGATCACTTGTGGTTTACAAAACAATCAATCAGATTTTTAGAGTATTTTTTGGGTGCCATCACTGCGTATGGGACTGTTGCTGTGGTTTTGGTTGATCTGCGTTGGACTCTGCCTGCACAGCGTGATTGTGACGAACTAGATTGATGCATGACTACATCTCGAAAAATTCATTAGTAGGCGTGAAAAGTTCGTTAGTGGGCGTGAAAACAAATCACGACCGCTGATCCCCCAACGTCTTTATACTCAGATCAGATATGATATGCTCATTTCATTATTGGAAAAAAAGACACGATCAACAGCTATTTGGTACGAATCAATGAAGTTCTTGTGTACTTAACGGGGTCATTGAACGTGGCCTTGTTTTCTCGACAGCAAACTTCGAGTTGGGCGAAGGCATGTTGCTATGCAGCAGTTTTTCACACATAAGCATTTGAATCTGGCACTCGCTGCATCTCCTCTGTGTTCAGTTCTTCAACTACATCCTTGGTTTCGACCAGCCCCAGACGAACCGCTCCGATAACTTTAGCCGCGACTGTCGTTCTCTCTTTCTTTTTGTGTTTGATCCACTGCATCACAGATTTGAAGACAAATGTCTCGGAAGGAGCATTGAGATCATCTCGGCTGAGAAGATTCAGTAACTTATCAGCGTCAATATGGGACAAGAATCCTTCACTTTCACAGACCTGCCCGTACAACGACGCCATCTTACGATGTAAATCTTCCTTTAGGTCTCTCAGACTGTGCAAATCAGCAAATGCAAGAAGATGGAGATACGTTTGGATGTCAATGGAACCTTGAATGTATTCTTTGTCCAAGAAATCACAACACTGTCGAACAATGATTGGCATCTGGAGATGGTTGGCAGTTATGAGAACTTCGAAAACTTTTTTTTTTCTTGTCAATGAAGAGCTCTCCACTATATAGATGGAATCCATTACGACCTTAAAACCGAGTGCTGAAAGGTTTTCATCTTTGAGCTCAATCACTTCCTGGTTTGATTCCTTCATTCCATTGGTGAACATTGCATCGCTGTTAGCAGCGAGAACATTGCGGTGAGCAGGAAAGATGGACTCATCCACCCTCAGACGAACGTCAACGAATTCTCCGTTTTCTTTGAACTGGCCTAACTTGAACAAAAGATGGGCCGCCATTTTGGTGAAGCTATTAGTGTCAAAACAGCGTCCTCTCTTACGTGTCATCGAACAACGACCATGCATGATTATTCATGATATGAAGAATGACCAATGAAAAGGCAGTTTCTAATTGATCACGCAACACCACCCTTGCTTTTTCAGTCCATCATATTAGGTCAAATGAGAAAGAAGTAGTTAAATTATGGTCCCGCAGACAATATTTTTTTTGTGAAGTGAAAAAAAAAACATAGGTAGATAAAAAAGTGAAAAGAAAACCAAGGCCTCATTTGTATGGAGAAAACTTGCTGCGGGTAGAAGGGGTTGCTGGTAATTTTCTCCAAAGCCCAACAAAAGCGACCAGGAAAGCACATGTACAGTCACCGTGTGTTTTCTTTGACGACATAAAACAGGGTAGGTGTAGGAATAACTGTTCCAGGTAAGTCACGTCCCGTTGAAGCCACAGAAATAAGGTCGCAGAGACAAGGTTCCCAGCCAAGAGTTATATGATATAATATATGAGGCAAAATCGAATCTGTATACGGTTAAGGTGGCTCGATTCAGCATCCATGTAGGCATACCTTCCACCTTTGGAACTCTTAACCTCAACAAGACGCATTACACGTAGACTTTATTCAATGATATTATTATTATTATTATTATTATTATCATGATTATTATTAGTAGTAGTAGTATTAGTATTACTATCACTATTATTGATTTTACATTATTCAATGACATTAATGTTTTGCGATCGGAATGAATGGAATGTCACGAGACAATGAATTTCAACCCTTATTCGAGTATGCTATGCCATCAGTATACGCCAAAAATATGCTTTACGTTCTTGCCTTCTATTGTACAAATTTTTTTCCAGCCCAAAAATCTATAAGAGGAAGAATATAATTTATGCGTAAACTGATGTCTACAAATTTCCTCCTTCTTGGGTGTTACTTAATGTGCATTCTCCAAACCGCTGCAGGTAGGTAGGATCGCGCGAATTCGAAAAAAAAACAAAGATATACGGTTCCAGAGTTAATCGCTCTCTTCTTGTGATTTGTAAAAACAGCTAAACAATCAAAATTCGTAAATAGATTTCCTTTAAAAACTTTCAGAGCTGCAATTGATCAGTGTACTGTACAGTCCCTAATTTTATCATTAAAAAGTTGCTTAAAGTGGGCTCGCAGACTAGTACATGATTGTTTCGTGACAAGCGAATCAAGGGGCGCGATCCATTCAACCAAAATTACAAACGGTCCGACAGGGAAAAGTGGTCCACGTCAAAAGAGAAATTTCCGGAAATTTTGGTTGAATGGATCGCGCCCAAGGATTTCCATAACGTGTCATGGCCACTTGATCAAGACGTAAAAAAAGTCAAGTAATTCATGGCAGTCTCCATATAGACTCCCTGATATGTTATCTCTTATACCTTGTATACCACTATATATCTTCTGTGTACCCGTGTTTACCCTAGTACTATGGAGACTGCCATGAATTACTTGCCAAAAAGAGGAAAAAAACGTAACGCGAAAACTATCATACGTTCAGAGTCAACCGCTTTTCTTTTCAAAATCTGACTATACCGATCCAAGAATGGTTGCTCATTCCGAAATTCTTCTGATGGCTCAGTAAAAAAGTGAGGCAAGAAGTATTCTCAGCTCATCACACAGTGCTTGCTGCTTTCACGCCATGTTTGCTCATGGCATGAAGGAGTCGAACCAGGAAGTTGTCGAGCTCAAAATGAAAGCATTTCACCAGCTGCGTTGAAGATCGTCCTGGATTCCATCTACGGTAGAGATCTTCGAGTCAGCGGTCAGCGGCGCCAATGGCTGCCAGTTGTGTTAGTTCGTAACAAAACTCGCGCCATTGCTGTTCGCCATATTAGTGAACAATCTGTGTAGGGACTGGAGATATAGGGTTAAATACGTTGATGACACCTCGGTATTTGAATCTATTCCTCGATGTTCGCCTAGCTACCTTCCATTTATCGCCGCAAATATTAACACCTACGCTTCCATGCGTAACATGCGGCTTAATGAGAAAAAATGTAAAGATATGGTTATCAATTTTTTGAAGTACCAACCCACTGTTATAACGCCGATTCAGCTTAATGGTATAGTTATTGATAGAGTATCTAGTTATAAACTCCTAGGGGTTATTATCTCTAATGACCTCTCTTGAAACGAACACTGTGACAGTATCCATAAAAAAGCTGCTAAGCGATTGTTTGTGCTGCGGACCCTCAAGAGAGTTGGACTGGGCACTAACGATCTCGTGTGAGTCTACTGTAGTATTGTTAGATCCATTGCTGAGTACGCCTCGCCAGTTTGGGCTGCGATCCCTTTATGTCTTGATGAGTTAATTGAGTCTGTACAGCGGAAAGCCCTCAAAATAATATTTGGCCGGGTAGACTATGTGGAAGCCTTGGTCTTAGCCGGCCTGGAGTCTCTTAGTGACAGGAGAGTAGGAGCTTGTAAGCGGTTTATGGCTACTGCACGCCAAATGTCCCCCCTTAAGAACATCATCCCCTCTCCTGCCGCTTTTGAGTCTCATTACAGTATGAGGGTCCAACTTCCAAGACGTCAACATGGTCATACCAGAAGAATTAATGACTTTGTAACTTATAAATTTCAGTGAATGTATGAAAATGGTTAATTGTATGTGACAATGACCTTCCCAACAATTCAGTTATTGCTGCAAGTGGGTGAAATAAACAGAATATCTATCTATCTATCTATCTATCTATCTATCTATCTATAACGATGAAAACGTTTTTGAAGTTCTTATGGTAGCCGATCACCTCCAAGTTACAAGTGTTATTGAACAGTGTTGCGACTACTTGCAAACCCTTCAGCTGCGATTTGATGTACAGTACAGACATATTGTTAAATCTGCACCAATTACAATTTGACACGGACTGATAGACCTTTAAGAATTAAGCTACACAGAGCAAGATGGCGTCAATTGCAAGGAAGTTTCTGAGAACTGAATGAAGAATTCATGTCCCACTTTGGTGCTGAACAATACTCTTGCCTTCTTGGTCGAGATGACCTCAGTGCCCCTTTCGAGACATTCGTCTTCAAAACTGTGATGAGAACGGCGGATCAAACGCAAGAAGGAAGATAGGATGACAGCAGTCTGTCGCTGCTAATCGGAGCGGTTCTTCTGGGATTGGTGAACATCAGGGATGTGACTGAAGAACTTGACACAGAAGAGATGTAGCAAGTGCCTGAAATTCATATGCTTCTGCATGAATCGCTTTTGCATAACAACAGGCCTCTATTAAAAAACAGTTCTAAGTCCGCTTTAGAGAAGGCCAAGCCAAGACCTATGAAGCAGGTTAGAAGGAACCCTTACTATACTAAACGCGCCCCTAGAGAAAAGAAAATTATAAGTTTCAAAGTTCTCACCTAACTTTGTCTGCTTATATTTTGAAGCAAAGAAAGTATTGCCAAGAAAATGTGACATAGAAAGTTAATGGGTCGGCGACCACCTGATGAGACTCCATACAAAACTAGCTAGTTTCGCTATGGTATTTGTGAATCGGTGTATCGAAAAAAAAGGGAAATCGCACGTGCCCTAGCCCACGTCATTAATTTATAAAAAGTGAAATCAGTATTGAACAGAAAAACATAGTATTGAGTCCTATCGAGACTAAGTTCTCTTGGTTCTGCTGTTTGACCAATAACCGCAACGTCATTCAATTTTTTTTGGCCAAGATAGTTCATCAATTGCTGGCTATCATTTTCGTTCCTTTATTAACTAGGCCATGTCATACAAGGACGTTTAAAGTTTGAAAAAAATGAGAAAACATTTTTGTTGTTGTAATTCTGTATTGAGTGCTAATGATTTGAACTATCTGCATGGTTTTAGGTTAGTGTTGCTATTCTTCTACTATCACAGAAGCCGTTTTTGGCGTCCAAACACATTAGCCCTGGGATTTCATTTCCCATGGAAAACAATTTTTCGGTTCCGTACCCAGAGATCATGGGAAACCATCAGTAACAATTTTTTATTGTTCCGTGAAAATTCATGGGAACCCATCCCCTAAACGTTTTTAATTTTTCAAAGTCATATATTTTTTTCTTGACTGGAAGTCATAAACCAGTAATGTATAATGCTTTTTGGGAATGATTCAAGATGGAACGGACAAAAACGTGACAAGCACCAATCACTTTGGTTCCACTCAGTTTAGTAGTAAACAATAAACCCTGTGTTGCTTTGGAAACTGAAGTGCACCATCTATAGAAATACTGAGGAACCATGCGGTGGCTGAACAGGTTCTGTTGAAGTGTATGGTAAGGAACACAACACTTGGACTGTTCTAGACCAACCACACATTCCCCCAAATAACCTTGGAGCAATAGAAGTGGAGGGAAGTGTATATTTCATCGTCAACAGTTTTCCAGTAGAATTAGGATCACACCAGCAGAGGTTTATCCTGTTTCTTTAGATGAGTGGGAAGGCTTAGGAAGGGTGGCCAAAAATTCAATGTTGTGTTGCGTGCCAGTTAACAGGAAAAACTTAACATCTGAATAAAGGTTTCGTTGAAAGATTTACACAGCCGTTTATTTACGTCTCCGCTCGGCCAAAACCTTCCTGTAAAACCCAATAGGCCCGAAGAATAAGGAAATATAGATTATAGTTTTTAGTTTTTTCGTAGTTTTCAAAAACACCTAGCCCGGAAAAGAACTGATTTTCATAAAAAAAAAGCTCACGTAATCGCTATGAAATAAGCAAGCAAGTGGCTGCTTTTAAAATAAAGGTTATCTGCTTGCTAGAGATTCCATTTAGTTACAGTGAATTGCTGGCGATTTTCTCGGGACTGTGGTAGCTGGCAGCCGCGTGAAGTAGCAGATCCCTTAAAACAAAGGATTGGTGGTACCTGCATTGTTATAGTAGTGTTATCTAGTTGCAGGTTTAGGATTGGGTTCGTCGTCAATTTTTCCTCTTTCGCGTGACTCGTGCATTCAGTGTGGTTTCTGTTTTTACCGTCAGGCCTGCTATTCCTTTTTTTTAAATAGAGAGTTGTCATGGGGCTCCCTTGCGTGTCTTAATTCTAGCCTAGTACTTGCTTCTCTGTCCAAGCGACCACTGCAGGAAGGGTCCAATTAATCGAGTTGAGAAAATCTGGGGACCAGGCAAAGGGCCTTTGTTAATTATCATAGAATTAAACTCACTTAAAAGTGTGATTAAGCATCTTCGTAATTCTAGCAAAACTAATTTGTTTAAATTGCCCGTTTCAGCTTTACTAGAAAATACATTCCGAGATCGAGATATAAAATCAATAGGACACGATGAACCATTTCCCTTTTTCTCATAGATTTTAGTAGGTAATGTAATTAGCTCGCTTCTTTGTCGTGAAGTGTTTTTGTAATGCGTTGTTAATGCAGATTAGTTGGTAGAACTGTTCATGAATATGACATATAAATCAAATTATTTGCAAAGTCTCGTACCCATGCAGATCTCTGGTCGACGAAGAGATCTGGATACGAGATTATTTTCGTTCAATGTAATTTGTTCACTAAATAAGTAGATTTCCGTCTCAATGTTTATTGCAAAACCTTTGTTCTACTTTGATCGACTTTTGTAAACATTTCCTCCGTACTGTATAATTGAGATTTTCAAAAAAACTTGTTGAAAATTGTGAGGTAAAAGCAAAATATATCAGGTCACGTAAAAAAGAAATTAACGCTTACTGCTTTGAGCACCGGCAAGCTTTCGTCATCATTCACCCACCCATAGGCAATTAGAAAATGGGTAAAATAATAAAAGAAATCGGTACATTTAAGCCGCGAAAGGAAAAAATAATGTAGAGAAAACCCTCGCAGTTAAAGTCGGAAATTGTCCAATCACGAAAAGAAAGCGCGAAACAATTCAGGCGTGCCGGGATTCGAACCCTGACCTCTGCGATACCAGTGCAGTGCACTAATCTTAAACACTAACCAGTTAAGCTGGCAATCCATCTGGGAGCTGGAAATTAAATTGGTTCGTAATATACTCGGAAAAGATGAAGGTGAAATAATGAATATATGAATTTCATAATTGAATCTAACCCCGGAATGACGAAATAGCGGATCGCTGGAAAAACCGCAAAAATTTCGTGCCACACCGCGGTATATTGGATGTGAATTACAGGGGCCGGTGTAGCTTGGATTTTCCTAGAACTACGCACAGTTTTCAAAACAAACCCTACCCCGTTTCCCAAATCGTTTTTGTCAGAACTGGTGAGGTAATGATCACTCTCAGTATTTCAATTGATACGGCTGACGCGTGTGGCAAAGTAATCCGAGAAACTCCCCTGCATTTTACTTTGAATAATTATCCGGCGAGGGCAAAAACATATTTAAACTAGGGTATCTAAAAGATAGTAATGCTGCGGCACATTCTGTTGATACTGGCATTAGTTAGGCAGTGGGACTTAAAAGAATCAAAAATGACATTGATTGTCCTATTTACATGTTGGAAAGTACTAGAATAATTACTATCAGTCTATAGAAAGAACTCGTGGGAACGTTGTTTAGAAAATGATCAAGTGGTTATCAACTCTGGTTTTACCACAGTAAATTGTAGGAAATAATAGAAATTCAAATCGTTTGTCCATATATTTAATATACGGTGCACGATATTTTCTCTGGAAACACAATACTTTTCTTGCTTTTTGTTGCACTTTATTAAGTAACAGTTATTTAGCTATATATTATAGAAAACAACAACACAAAAAACGAGAAAAAAAAGAAAGAAGGAACAAATAACTCAGTAGGATTCGAACCAGGCACCTTCGACTCGACGCGACTACACTTAACCACTACACCACAGAGACTGATTACGTAGTCTTTAGGAAGTCTTTCACTTTATTCCTTTTCCATGAAACTTCCGCCGGCAAGATGATCACCAGCCGCATTAACCGAGCTATTAACAGTGAAAAAATAATGTAAACGCATATTCCATGGCAATAAATGAATGAAAGGACATAATTATGCTTTTCAAAACGCCAATACACGTCCTCGTCTGCAAAGTAGGACACAAAACATATGTTTTGTTATCTCGATTTCCGCTGTTATTTTGAAGCGTATGGTCAAAATCACATCCATTTTCGGCTCATACAGTTTCTTAAGAATAGCATTGCATGACATTTTCTCACTTTCACACCCCGTGTTGCGGAGTCGAAGAGCAAAAAAAGCTCTTGAGTCAAAAAAGGCTCTTGAATTGAAATCCAATCCTCAAGTTAACCATCGTACTCATCTGAAAGACTCCTGCGTGTCTGAAAATTTGGTAAGACCTCTAACCTTGCTGTAGAAAATTTGCCACAAAGAAAACTCTAAGTCTGAGCAGCGAACGATGCACTCTCTCACCCACCGAACTTCCCCGTGTTTTTATTTGAGTTGTTCGTGGCGCAATGCACTCTGGTTAAATGCAATGCATTGTGGTAAAAAGTGATGAATTCGAGAATTCGTCGCCCCTTATATATTTCCTTTAAATCCTGATTATGTTGCTGCCCGCTCCCTTCGGTCGCTACGCAGCAACAATTCCACCATTTTTCCGTTATCTCTTATTTCCTGCTGTTTAGTTCCTTTGCTTTGTTTTTCTATTATTTTTTAACTTCTTTTATTTATGTTCGACACTTTTTTAGGTACGCGGGTGCGAAAAGTCGTGCAAATAGATATGACCGTGGATTATGTCGGCTGAAGGGAAGACCAATAAGTGCTCGTTTATACCACCAAGTGTCCAGTACATATCAGTAAACCACGACAAACGATTTTACTTTCAATCAGTAGATTGTTTTTATTATATTTAAGAGGTTCACTACAATATGTTGAATTATACCGACTCTTTTTAATAAAGATTAAAATGTACGAGTATTGAAAACTAATTTATTTAAGAGATTTAGCTATATAAAGCATATCTACATTAATAGTCTGTGCCCTCCAATATAATTAACGTAAAATCTAATTTTATTAGTAATATTAGCGCCCTTAGTATGTGAAAGTGGTAAGCTTTAGAAGCTTGTCATTGCCGAAAATAAAATCTCTAAATGTAACGTATCCACACCGCCGGTCTTGACTTGGTTTACGCTAAATCAATAAGAAGGTGTCTTGGTTCTACCTTTAGTGATTAATAAAGTTGTTGGTGGTTTCGGGCGCGATCCATTCGACCAAAATTTCCGGAAAGTTCGGTCCAAAACTCAATAGATCGGTTCGGACCAACCGGAAAAGTTTCGAAAAAACGGAGGTGGACCACTTTTCCCGGTCGGACCGGTTGAAATTTTGGTTGAATGGATCGCGCCCTTCATTTCACTAACTTGACTTGAAGTTAGACTAACGCATCACACACCAGGGGTGTTTTCCATTTTGAGTATTTTGCCAAACCGACCGGTCAGCCCGACCCTAGACCGCGAGCGGTTCGTCCTTTTTCCTCAGAGCCTCGAGTCCTCATTCCTTGGGCTTCGCCGCTCGCGCTCGCGCCTTACGCGTGCTCTCGACCTGCCGGGCTGGTCAGAAACCAAGAGAAAATGGAACGACACTGTTCGATTGAAACAAAGTTTCCAACCGAATTGAGGCTTTCTATTTCGTCTCGATCCAAATTTTGATAACTTCTCAGCTCAAAAGGGAAATTTTTTGAAATAGAACGGCAAGTTTCGGTCGGACGACCGGACGGAAGGGGCAAAAAGGAGCACCTCTGGAGGTGGACCAAGTTGGCCGGAAAATTTCCCTCGAACCGAAGCTTTCCATTCAATTCTCAACCGAAATTTCCGAAATTTTTGGCATAATGGAAAGCACCCCAGATGCAGTGTTTCATCCGACATCCAGACAACGCGAAGTCTGTCTGCAAGGCGGAGTTCCTTAATATCACCCCAGTTGTGCCACGCAACTTCCGGGTTATCACACTGGGGGCTTAAGGATTTTTATTTTTTATCGGAGGGATCCTAGTCTGCTTCACAGCCGTTCTTTGTGTGTGGAGCGGAGCGTTGCGTAGACTGCGAGCAGTCTCTTATTTTTCTTTGCAAAGTTACTGCACGCGAAACGAACCCTAAGCACGCGAGCGGCAAAGCCGCGAGAAACGAGGGCGTAAGCTCGTCTGGTCTCAATCCCTTATTGTAATAATAACGTCGTGTTTGCAATCGCGCTGGATGAGATAAAAGGCGGACTGCAAGCAGTCTAAGCGTTGCGTGACGAAACGAGGAACTACGGCTGTGAAGCAGACTAGAGGGATGCAAACATGTGCTTAATACACTATTTCAGCCGTTACACATAATTTTCCAGTAAACTCCAAATACGTCATAAACACCTCGATATGCAATTCTTCAGTCGACTCAGAGAACACTCCCTGGCTCAAGTTCAAAGGTGCATTTAAGGAAGGGAGTTAAGGACCCTTGGACCCTTCCCCTGATCCTCCACCATATATATTAACTTCCTATAAAGAGTGTTTCTGTTTGAGAGATCGGTAATGCTTCTCTTGCAAACCGGTCTCATAAGGCATTCAACTAGTCGTATTAACCATTAGGGACTCCAAAAAGTGGTCCGGCTCTGATCTTAATTAATAATAATTACATTAATAAAGTTTCTGCAATATAGAGAAATGACCGGACTGTCCGGACCAGTGGTAACGGGCCGGGGTGGCCTTATTAACAGAGAGTACGGCGGACTCAATCAAGACATTTAAGTGTGAAATTCAAGTCAATTTTTCGATAAATAACTACTAACAGCTAATTAAAACAATTGTCACCTTACGAAGGACAAGGACATTTAAGTGTGAAATTCAAGTCAATGTTTTGATAAATAACTACTTAACAGCTAATTGAAACAATTGCCACCTAACGAAGGACAAAGTTACTGAACTGAGCAGGGAATTGTAACATTTTAATGCTAAAATTAAGCGCATCCCTCAAAACTATTCCCAAATCTAGCATTTTGGTAATAAATCACCTTTCATTTCATTTTACAAACTGACAAGGTAACGCCTATCAAGAGATTCCCTTTTGCTTTTAAAGCTTCGTCCGATTTAATTCAAAATCGGCAATCTACGTTTTTTTTTCTAGCCTGACTCAAGTAGAAGAATATTTTTCGGAACTTGAAAAAAACAAGAGGCACATTTAAAAGAAACACCTAATTCGGTTTGATTCTTTTTTTCTTATTTAATCAGGGGATTCGCCGTAGCCTACTGGGTGTTTAACATCTCTTTCTTCACTGATAGATAACACAAGACTGCGGCATCATCAATGGTTCCTAGATGTTCCCACTGTCCTAAAGATATCGTGTACACTTCATTTGGTGGTATTCTAATGCCACTGTCAATTGGAAATTTGTTGATGATGAAATAAACCTTCCCTCCTAACAGTTCCACTGCACCGAGGTTGTTTGAAGGGATGTGGTTTTGTTCAACAACGTCCCACGAGTTCCTTCCCTCATTATAAACTTCGACAGGTGCAGGGCCACCAACAGCTCTCGCACGCCTGGGGAAACTTCGATCAACAGAAACAAAAACCCTTCCACCGGCCACATAAAGCTTATTATTTTCTACAAATAGAGTCGATTCAAAGTGAGGATGTATAGTTGAAGCCCTCTTCTTCCATTCATTTTTCAGTGGGTCAAAACAGTGAAACACGGCCGGTTTACGTTTACACACGTGGTTATCCGCGTTTACCCTGTAATATCCACGAAGTACATATATTTTAGATTTCATACTCACTGCCGTCACAAATACTGATCTTTTTCGATGACCTTTTTTATTCAAGGAAGGCAATTCGAAACCACCTTGCCAATCATTCTGAGACAAACTATATCTCTGAGCCAGATCTGAGTCACTAAATGCGTATACATGTTCATTGACAGGACATAAACAACGTATCCGTTCCGATGAACTGGAGGACACTAAGGGAGGAAGTTTTTCCCATACATTACTAGCCGTGTGATAACGCCGAAAAATTACTGAAGAACCCTCCGTTTCATTAGCTACATACAAATAATTACCCACAACCACTGCACAAGTGCATTCAGTGACATCAACTAATCTTGCCATGGACGGAAATGGTTTCCATGATTTAATTCCAGTTTCAAAATACTTCATTTGAGTGGCAACGAAACCTTCATTCCGCCTCCAACGTTGCGATTGTCCATACTCGTCGCATTGACCGGGGAAAATTGCAACAAGTACCTGCCGACGAACAGCACAAAAGCATTAAATTAGTGAAGGAGGCCGAATTTAAAACTAAAGTTATGAAATATTTAGAACACGTTAATTTAAACAGAAGTTGATAAAGAACTCTAATAATATACACGAAAACATTACTCAATTCTGATCGGCTGAGAAAGGAGTGCAGTTCTTCTGTAACACAAGTGCAAATTACAAATGGTTTCTGATTGGCTGAAAACACAAAAGAAACCACCAAGAACCAATCAGATTAGAGCTGTTTTAACAACAAAATTGAAGAAAATGGCCATGGTTTTCAGCAAACGACGATTTAATTTTGTACTCAAAACTATAGAAAAGTTAAAAAAATATTCCAAAAACCCGAACACAGTAAAAAGTACGTCTTTCTGGCTAAATATATTAAAAATGCGGTGCTAAGAGAAAAATACTGTCGACAAAATCAAGGAAAATGAGCTAGGGAAACTAAAAAACAAGCTACTTATAACAGACTACGCTAAAGTAAAAAAATGGAGAACAAAAACGGTGGCAACCACACGCAAACCATGACAGCTACACTTTTCAGGCATTTAAATGAACAAGGGTACAAGTTATTCATGATATAAACAACAGGGATTTCAAGTCATGTACGTTATTTGTTGGAGGAGAAAGGTGTCCGGTTGCTCTCTTTGAAACTTTTGTGTAGCGAAGACCTCTATTAAAACATCCATGCGATCGTCTGTTTTTTTTCTACCTCTACCTCTACATCTGGTTCAAACTAAACCAATGGGCAAAAAAAAACCATAACTAACATAATGAAAGTATCCGAAGCTGGTACTAGCCTTAAAGAAAGGGAGGAAAAAGTTTACGAATCATTGTGGAAGAAAAACAACTGTCAGGAAGCTGAAGAAAACAAAGATTGTAAGTTCATATGAATTCAGGAAGAATTAGTTGGCTTTGAATTCTAATACAAATCTTCTAATTTCCCGCCATCTTGCCCTTATTACCCATGATGCAACTATGAGCGTGAACTCCTCTATTCTACTTAGGTAGATAATAGATTTTTATCATTCATGTGAGTATCACGTACTCTACTATAAGCAGTTATTTAAATACTATACTCTTTAGAAGAAATGAAAGTTCAAAGCAAAACAAGGTCTAAACTTGCATCGATATGCTTCAAGTTTACATTAACATATCAAAAAATTTGACAAGAAAAAATTAATAAGCGTTGCTGTATTGCTGGGAAATGCGGCACTCTCGCTTGAATGGGATGAATGCAGGCGAAAATATATGTTTATTTTTCGTCTTCTCGTATGCTATTCTTACTTGAGGTCGGCGCCCTTTAAATGCAGTAAGACATTGTATTTTTCGAAAGAGCGCCGCGGCGCTTATTGATTTTGGACTTAAAAGATGCCAAGTTTATTCGGGGGTCGCTTCAGCGCCGCATGCTCTTTCGAAAAACACAAATAGCATTTGCCGGTTTTATTACATTTGTGGTCAATTTTTATTACATTTGTAGGCTTTGCCTTACATTTGCCGCTTCAACAAAGGTTGAAAACAAATGGTAATAAATCCATGACTACCGTCACGAATATACACATTTCAGCACTGAAGTTAGCACAAAAGCTTGTGTGTAGGTTGTAGTCAGTGATATTGCTGGTCAATGCAGTTGGTGTAGTCAATGTAGTCAGTCTAGTCAGTGCCGTACCAAACAAATCACTATCACTGATCATAAGCGGCAGCTTAGCACTGGGATCAACATCGTAATCAGATCCTTGTGATTCACACAAAATGCTTAAATTTTCTTACCCCACCACCCTCCCCCTCCTAAAAAGTAGTTACAGGATCAACAGCCTTTTTTTAATCAGTGAAGTTGTGTTGTACTTACCGGGGTCGTTGAACGTGGCCTTGTTTTCTCAACAGCAAACTTTGAGTCGGGCGAAGGCATGTTGCTATGCAGCAGTTTTTCACACATAAGCGTTTGAATCTCCGGCACTTGTTTCATCTCCTCTGTGTTTAGTTCTTCAACTACATCCTTGGTGTCGACCAGCCCCAAACGAACCGCTCCGATAACTTTGGCTGCGACTGTCATCCTTTCTTCCTTCTTGTGCTTAATCCATTGCATCACGGATTTGAAGACGAATGTCTCGGAAGGAGCACTGAGGTCATCTCGGCTGAGAAGATATAAGAACTGATCAGCGTCAATATGAGACACGAATTCTTCACTTTCGCAAACCTCCTTAAACACCGAAGCCATCTTGCACAAAGTAGCTTCTTTTAGGTCTTTCAGACCATGTAAATCAGCAAATCTGAGAAGGTGAAGATACATCGGGATGTCAATGCAACCTTGAATGTACTCCTTGTCCAAGAAATCACAACACTGTCGAACAATAATTTGCATCTGAAGATGGTTGGCAGTTGTGAGAACTTCAAACACGTTTTCCTTGTTGACAAGGAGTTCTCCACTGTAGATGGAATCCACTACCACCTTTAGACCCAGGGCTGAAAGGGTTTCATCTCTGAGCTCGATCACTTCCTGGTTTGATTCCTTCATTCCATTAGTGAACATTGCGTGGAAATAGTCACTATTAGCAGCGAGAACATTGCGGTGAGCAGGAAAGATGGACTCATCCACCTTCAGACGAACGTCAATGAATTCTCCGTTTTCTCTGAACTGGCCTAACTTGAACAAAAGATGCGCCGCCATTTTGGTGATGCGATATGTGTCGAGACAGCGCCCTCTCGTTTCAAATAGTCCTGTGTGGGTCATGAGGTGTCATGCAACAATGACCATGATATGAAAAATGACCAATGAAGAGGTAGTTTCTAATTGATCACGAGACACTGTCCCTATTTTTTTCAGCCCACCATATTAGGTCATATTAAAAAGGAGTAGTTAAATTATGGCCTCACACAGTACAGACAATTTTTTGTGTGATCGACGTAAAAAAAACATACACTAGGTAGTTAAAAAGTGAAACCCGTTTATATGGAGAAAACGTGACCCGGGTCACGGAAGGGATCGATGGTAATTTGCTCCAAAGTTTCAGTACAGTTACCATGAAGGCACGGTCACGGTCTGTTTTCTTTGACGACATAAAAAGGGTAGGTGTAGGGGGATGACTGTTGCGGGTCGGTCACGTCTCGGTGAAGTAAGGTCGCAGAAACAAGGTTCCAAGCCAAGACTTATATTATACAAAAGTAGCAACATTTTACTAATTTGATTTGCATACTGTTAAGGCTCGATTCAGTATTTATGTAGGCATACCTTCCACCTTTGAAAGTCTTATACCCAATGAACGACACTGCACGTAGACGTTATTCAATTATATTTTTGTTTCTGTGATTGATGGTTACAATACTATATATTGATTCCTAATGTTTTACGATTATATTATCTTTAACCACTATTTAATTACGAAGTAATACTTTTTGTCTAAAACAACTATTTTGTATCTATATTCTTTCTACTCATATTCTTGTTTGGGTCACCTACTCGGTTAGTTCCACGAACTATTCAGGTGTCCCAAACTCTGCACAATGAACCTAAAATTGAAAATTTCTTTTCCTTCACAATCTCTCGATTTTATATTTTAAAGCACTAATTTGTATTAATTATTATTCTGTGTGAGTTTAAATAATATATAGATTTAGCCAGGGCTAAAAGCGAGGCTCCCATTAATATATTTATAATTTAAATCAAACAATAAACTTCTATTCCACAATTCAGTTAACTTCAGAGCACATAGGACATTCATGTGACTTTTGAGGGAAAGGCTAAGTGATTTTAGGGAAAAATAATTTGCAAACAGCCCAAGAGTGAACAAAATCTTACATCAAGTTGATAGCCTCATATGTACACCCAAAAAATAGCAATCATCTTCGATCACATTTAGGAGCCATAATGGCTCTTGATCACCGTAAGATCAATTAAGCCTGGAAAAAAAATCAGGCCGAATTTTTTTGCGTTCGGCAGGTTTACTTTACAAAATCTTGCCAACAAATCCGGATGCGTGCACGTGTAAACCAACCTTTTATACCATTTATATATCACATCTGAGGTGAAACAGAGGTACTGTTTTTATCATACAGACCTCGGACAGTCGATCGAAGCACGCGTGGGCTTTTTAAACCGTTAAAAAAATTTCCAAAATCATATACGGCCAGCCGGTTCTCACTTTTGCAGTGCGAACTGTAGCGAGTGTTTGAAGGAACATATTAGAGTTAAGCTACAACATAATAAAGAAATTATTATGTTTATTTAGTTTTATTAAATTGTTTTATCGATGTGTAATCTTTAAAAGCGCCGGTTTCATACCCGCGGCACTGTGAGTACTCCTGCAAGCGATGTTCACTGAACGATTGAAAACAAACGGCACGGCGATTAAAATTGCAAGAGAAACTACCAAAAATCAATAAAAGAAATATAATTCGGTGAAACATATACAGGGACAACATTTTTCATTGACGAAGACAAGTATTAAAGTGTCTCTAAAAATCCTGAGTCTTGAAGCTGAAAGTTTATGTTTTAAGCCGGCTTCCCGGTATTTACTTTTTTCAAAGATGAACTCGAGGCAAGAAAATCGCTCAAAGCTTTCTTTTACAGCCAGAATTATAACTAAATGTTCTTTGGAACGTTTTCTTTCTATTTGAGGTGAGAAAATGTCTAAAGGCTTTTTAAAGTTCTGTAAGCTTATATCAAACCTGATTCTTGGTCATATCAAATTGTCTCAAATCTTACAAACGTGCATAAACTACATAGCCGCATAAACTGCGCTCGACTTCATTAAATTAGATATAAAAAACAAACATCAGACACAATAATAACTGAGGCTTACCATTCGAGATGCAGCTCCTGAAAGGTATCAAGGAAGGCCAGTATCGCTTCAGACTTTTCAACCCTTACGCATCAAGCAAGGTGAAAAGCGAAATCGATGCCATCCGCAATCGGATTTCCGACTTTGACAAGTAATGTATTAATTTCTCAACCAAAAACCAACTAGCCACGAATATCAGAAGACTCCTGATAGCAGCTGAATTTCATTTTGTGCATCCAGTGGAAAAAGACAGTTAAAAATATCACAAGTTGACACAAAACTCTGTCAGCTTCAGCTGTCAAAGTAAACAAGATTCAAGATGCGGCATAAATTTTCCGCATGAGCTCACCTGTCAAATTTTGACCAATCAGAGCGTGAAAACTGGACGTAGAGCGTGACCAACGCGTGACCATGGTGATCAAAGTCAAAAGCAACTGCCTTTCCTGCCTGTAATAGCTGGCTGAATTTTCGCGTCCCAGGTCAGTTTTAAATCAAAATTTTAATTGTGCGGCACAAAAACAAAACATAATTCATATGAATTAAAAAACAATCAAACTTGAGCCTGCGATCATTTGAAAACTAGTAACTTGTCAGCGGATAACTTCAAAAAATACTCGACTTGGATACGGTCAAGTGATACTGGTCAGCGGATACCCTGTTTTGACAGCTGTCAATTGATCACAACATTGATGTCCAATGGATGTGTGCATTATCAGTTTTCCTGTGCTCTCAATTTAGCTAGAAAGTATGAGATTGAACATTGATTGCGAGCTAGTAAAACAGCTGGTCAGCGGACAGCTTCCAAATAAATCACGTCACCTTGATGAGTTGACACATGAGCCCCCGATATGGCAATGTGATACTGGGTCAGTGGCTACCCTGTTTTGACAGCTGTCAATTGACCATATTGTGAATGGCCAATATAAAAGATATGGGTTTGCCAAGACACACCTGAGACACCCCTCCCTTCCTTTTCATAGTCTCCCCTACCCTACCCGTACAATCTGTAGACGCGTACGTACGTACGCTCGGTCAGTCACGTGACAACCAAACGAAAAGAGGTTGACCATATAGTGTCTGTGCGGTCACATGACTATGACGTAGGTGAAAAGTTGGTTCCGCCATATTGGAGGAGTGAAATCTGTCACGCGACTCCTCGCGTCTTGTAGCGATGCCTTCGTTTTGTCTAATCGTTGGATGTTCCAACGATAAAAAGAGACGTCCAGACCTTAGTTTTTGTAGGGTGCCTAAAGTTATTACTAGTCAAGGCGAGCAGACGGAAATTTTGTCGAATGAACGGCGAACTAGATGGTTAGCGGCCATAAGTCGTGATGACTTAACAGAAAGCAAGCTTGAGAACGACCGTGTTTGTGGAATTCATTTTCACTCTGGAAAAGCAGCTTCCCTCTGGGATAAATTCAATCTAGACTGGGTGCCTAGCTTGCATTTGGGCCACAGCAAGTTAAAGAGTTCAGACCAACAAGAGAAACAACAGGAAAGAGCCCAGAGAGTAAGAGAAAGACGTAAACGCGAGAGGGAGCGTGAAGAACAGGTTCAGGCTGTGAAAGAAAAAAAGGCAAGGGAAGATGAATCAGAAGCCCATGGCGATAGAATCAGGGATATTTCTTTCGCGGTTCAAGATGAAGAAGATTTGGCAGAGGTTCCAGAGGAGGAGGAAGAGGGGAACAACATGGCCACGCAAACTGAGCCAAGCGAACTCACGCAATCACGGTCAACGCAAACCGAGCAGTGTGATTACATGTTTCGAACGCCTAAACCTTGGATGCCAGAAAAATCCACCGTATTTGAACAGGAATTTTTTGAGGGAGATGACGGTAAAGTTCGCTTTTACACTGGATTACCCTCGTGGGAAGTTTTAATGAAAACATTCTCCTTTGTATCTCCACATGTCAACAGACGCTCCCTGTCATTGAGTAAATTTCAGGAGTTTGTTCTGGTGTTGATAAAACTACGACTGGCCGTCCCACACCAAGATCTTGCTTATCGTTTTGATGTTTCTAGAACTGTTGTTTCTCGTATTATTGTTACCTGGTTAACTGTCATGGATGTTCGTTTATCTCCTTTAATTTCCTGGCCAAGTCGGGAACAGCTTCAAAGAACAATGCCGAAATGTTTCATTGACTCTTTTGGTCTAAAGACAAGTGTGATCATTGACTGTTTCGAGATATTTATTGATAGGCCATCCAATCTTTTAGCAAGAGCACAGACCTTTTCGAACTACAAACACCATAACACTGCGAAAGTGTTGATTGGGATAACACCACAAGGAACAATATCATTTGTTAGTGAGGCCTGGGGGGGGCGCACATCAGACAAATTTCTTACAGAGAACTGTGGCTTTTTAAAAAATTTACTTCCTGGGGATCTTGTCCTTGCAGACAGAGGTTTCACTGTCCACGAGCAGGTGTGGTTTCACCAGGCAGAACTGAACGTCCCTGCATTTACCAGGGGCAAACAACAGCTGGATCCAGTTGATGTAGAAAAGACACGTAAAATCGCCAATGTCAGAATTCATGTGGAGAGAGTTATTGGAATTCTGAGACAAAAGTACACAATCTTACAAAGTACTCTGTCAACTGACTACTTAGCATGTGAGGACAAGAGCAAAGCCCCACTGATTGACAAGATAATTCGAGTTTGTGCTGCCCTTGTTAACCTCTGTCCTCCTATTGTGAGTTTTGATTGATTTCTTTAATGGGTAATAACTCGTCAAGTTGTCCGAATTAGCCATACATCTTGCCTGAGCCCCAGTCCATTTACGGTACACCTAAATACATAGCCAAGAAGTGTAGCAAGCTTGTTAAAAGTGTGGTTGTCAAATCCTTCAAGACCTGCGGTATTTCCAATGCCTTGGACGGAACAGAGGACGACGTGGTCTACTCTGAGGAAACCCCAGAAGTAGACGATGAAGACATAGAAGAGAACGAGTTCTAGACAGACAGCGAAAACGAAACGGATGGCGAGTAAACTATTGGGTTGAAAGCCCTTGCACATATCCGTCAAACGGCTCCTTTAGGAGCCACCAATTTCATAAAAGTGAATAACCAATATTCAGAAGTTATTTTTGTTGTGTTTTATTACTTCTGCTTCATTGCTAACTTGACTACAAGCCGGGGGGGTAAAGTTATTCAGTAACTGTATATTTTTAAAATGTAAAACCCTCGGCTACAAGCCAAACCCCGTTCTCCGTGAAAAATCTCCCAAAATTTTGGGTCGAAAACTGGAAAAATCGCTCGGCTTATAGGTGAAGAAATACGGTAGTTGTTGTTACTTAAGCCTGAAAAGTAATATGCATGAAAAGAGGGTGATTAAAAACACTGCAGCTCTATAGGGAGTCAGCTGCAAATCCATTCAAGCAAGATGAGTTTCAGGGCCCGGTTGTTCGAACGCCAGTTAGCACTAACCCCGGGTTAAATTCTAACCCCGGTTTCTTTTTCTTTTGTTCAAAAGGATTTTCTCAGATAATTTTCTCTGTTATTTTCAAGAGTATCCAATCATCAACTTGTTGACAAAAAGAATTAAACTGAATTTACTTTTTAAGCTTTAATGTCTGCGTTCAAATTTCGCACTAACCCTGGGTTATCTTAACGCAGCTTCGAACAACCCGGCCCAGGTGACCAACCTTGACTGTAAACTCACGACTTAATGGTTGAAAAAAATAAGGATTATTGAGAAAATGTAAACATTTCTTACATGGTAATGATTCACCCTTGTCACAAGCTTCAGCAGGTTCACAAACATTTTTTTATTCAAATAAGTTTTGATCAGTATGGTAAAACATTTGGTTAAAAAAAAATGCCTCTTACCAACTATCTTCAAAGGATTGACCTAAACCTACCCCAAGCACACACGCAAGCCAAGGTGGTCATCCAATCACTTCGCAGTGAGCCTAACAACGAGTTCTGGAATAAGCTGTATCAATGGCAGTTTCTGTCGCGGCAAAGCATGATGTCCTAGTTTGTAAACTTAGAGTAGCTGGCCGAGAGTTGAATCGAGAAAATGTTCCATCAGATTCAGTTAGTGACTAGTGACTAACGAGCAGACTAACGTCCACGTCCAAATCTAATAATACAAAAGAAAACCCTGCAATCTCTCGTGTGACTCAAACAGGAAATTTCTACATCCTAGTGAACTCTTCTTACCATTCAATGTCAAGTAATGCAGATGCCCAATTTGCTAATTATGCTCTTAACTGGGGTTAATGAGCCCTAAGGGAGTACTGGTTCTTTCCTCACTTGTCCCTAGTGTACTCTACTCTCCTCACCCTTGCAATCAAGGCTCATGTAGTAGTCAACGGCTCACCGTTAAGCTCGAAGTACTTTCACTTTTACAATGTTAAAGTGGTTGCAAAAGCTTCCAGTAAATTTCCACAACATAACATGATTCTCACCTGTCTCACCTTATGTAAACCCCTCATACAAATAGTCAGCCACATTTCAGCTTTGTTCTTCAAGCAAGTGCCTAAGCTCGCACTCTTTAAGACTGGAAGCAAGTGGAAGCTGTCTTCTGTAATCGCTATGGTTGTGCTTTGTCCTGCACATTTTCCGTGTTAATTTCGTTATTTTCTCTCATAGTTTGTTACATTATATTATTCATTATGTTGCCACCACTTTAGCCATATTGCCTCCGCCATTAGCTCGATGTAAAAACTAAATCCTAAATGTTTCTACCTTTTACTTTTCTTACTTACATATTGGTGGCAGGGAAGTGCACCCTGGGATGAACTTTACCCCACAGTATGTGGGATAGCCCTCCTTAGCAACAGGTCCGGATTCCTTACTCCAAGATGGTACAACTCAACATCTGACCTATTCTCCTTCCAGCAGGGCACCCCTCATCTGGTCCACCCTCTGTCACACCCTAATGTAGGGTTAAAAACACTTCTTGAAAGTTAACATTCATCTGTGTGTCAACAGTGCTATGAAAATCAGTTGCTTCGGAAAATTTAGGTTTAAATCGTTTAGTTTGTTAGCTTGTTGTGTATCCTTGGTTGCTTTAAATAATATTAATATTAGCAAGTAATTTATTGTCGGCAAGCATTGTTTGTTTGCCTTTTCAAATTAGGAATTTAAAGTTTATGGGTGTTTCATTATGATTAATCTTTCCTGTTTGTTATTTTTTAAAACATATTATTATATACGATGACGCATGCCATCTGAAAAAGTATGGAAGCAATCAAGTGAGAAGTCACTTGACTCCAACACCTGAAAGAATGTCTGATATGAAAATGGTCATAGACAAGTTTCATTTTAAAAATCATGTTAACAAGTGGTGTAAAGTACACTGTAATCCATATGACAGTGAAGAGCTTACGGTAATGTGGAATCATATTTTCTTTCATCTATAAATACAGTCATATTTCCATTACTGTCACAAATACTATTTTCGCTTAAAGTCAGCATATTCTGTCCTTTAAGATACCAATTTTGCAGCTTACACACCACCATGTTCACAGTCAGAGGGCAACCATATAGAGTAGGCCAAAATATTAAAATTATAATTCTTATAATTTTGGAAACTCATAATGTCGAGATGGATACATCATGTGATACTTAAAGTATCCACCAAATGGATAAGCATTGAAACAAAGTTGACATTAACAAATATTTACCCTTGACAACATAGCCTTAAAAGAAATTTACAGTACAAATTTGCTGAGGTGTTATCTTTTTGTATCTTTTAGCTACATTGTCACCACAGACTACCCAAGAGCTATCTGCAAATGCACGCTGACCATTTTTCTGCACTACGTATCAGCTTCGATATTACAAGTACAGTACGTTAAACAACTTAAAATATAAAAGCCGATAAAACGGATAACTACGTATCTACATATCCAGCTCTTTCAGGAATAGAGATTGGAAATGGCGGAGTATTCTGTGGTAAAGACGAAACAAAAATCGGAAAAAACGTAGGGTAAAGGCGAAAAAACTCTTAAATCCCTGTTGTTATGGCACACGTTACCCAAAGGATCACAGGTTCCGTCCACAAAGCATGAACATTCACACAGGCATGTCCCATGCAAAACGACACGAGAATAAGGAGTCCGAAAAAGATCGGTGTCTCTCGTTGCTTCATCCCTTTTCCCAAGAGTTTACATGCCTAAAAGAAGGAAACATGAAATTAGTAAACAATGAATTACTGTTAAAAAAGGAGATTTGTCTAAATGCGTTTTTTTAGCTTACCTCCTGTATAGATAGAGGACGGAGGTTCCAATTGATATCATGTTCATGAAAATCGTTAAGATTTTATCCAGAAGATGAACATGATTAGCAGCCATGTTGACCAAGCAAGATTTCTACCCTGGCAGCAGATACTGAGAACGATATACCGAGCGCACGTGCAAACAGTAGAATGACAATCAAACAAAAGTTGCTGAGTGTGTAATTTGTCCTTTGAGTATTTCAATACCCTTCTTTACTACGGCATTGCCAATTGTTTAATTGTGAAAACTAGAAGGTGGATTATAACACAAGGTAAATGAAAGATGTCACTGTTGTGTGTTTTGAGGAAGGGGATAACGTCACAGGTATACCCATTTGGGACGAGATAATTTGGACCGGTCAATGACATGTGAAAAACATTTGCATTAACTTGAACGGTACAAACTGTACGCATTGATATAATTGTGTCTGTGCGGTCACATGACTATGACGTAGGTGAAAAGTTGGTTCCGCCATATTGGAGGAGTGAAATCTGTCACGCGACTCCTCGCGCCTTGTAGCGATGCCTTCGTTTTGTCTAATCGTTGGATGTTCCAACGATAAAAAGAGACGTCCAGACCTTAGTTTTTGTAGGGTGCCTAAAGTTATTACTAGTCAAGGCGAGCAGACGGAAATTTTGTCGAATGAACGGCGAACTAGATGGTTAGCGGCCATAAGTCGTGATGACTTAACAGAAAGCAAGCTTGAGAACGACCGTGTTTGTGGAATTCATTTTCACTCTGGAAAAGCAGCTTCCCTCTGGGATAAATTCAATCTAGACTGGGTGCCTAGCTTGCATTTGGGCCACAGCAAGTTAAAGAGTTCAGACCAACAAGAGAAACAACAGGAAAGAGCCCAGAGAGTAAGAGAAAGACGTAAACGCGAGAGGGAGCGTGAAGAACAGGTTCAGGCTGTGAAAGAAAAAAAGGCAAGGGAAGATGAATCAGAAGCCCATGGCGATAGAATCAGGGATATTTCTTTCGCGGTTCAAGATGAAGAAGATTTGGCAGAGGTTCCAGAGGAGGAGGAAGAGGGGAACAACATGGCCACGCAAACTGAGCCAAGCGAACTCACGCAATCACGGTCAACGCAAACCGAGCAGTGTGATTACATGTTTCGAACGCCTAAACCTTGGATGCCAGAAAAATCCACCGTATTTGAACAGGAATTTTTTGAGGGAGATGACGGTAAAGTTCGCTTTTACACTGGATTACCCTCGTGGGAAGTTTTAATGAAAACATTCTCCTTTGTATCTCCACATGTCAACAGACGCTCCCTGTCATTGAGTAAATTTCAGGAGTTTGTTCTGGTGTTGATAAAACTACGACTGGCCGTCCCACACCAAGATCTTGCTTATCGTTTTGATGTTTCTAGAACTGTTGTTTCTCGCATTATTGTTACCTGGTTAACTGTCATGGATGTTCGTTTATCTCCTTTAATTTCCTGGCCAAGTCGGGAACAGCTTCAAAGAACAATGCCGAAATGTTTCATTGACTCTTTTGGTCTAAAGACAAGTGTGATCATTGACTGTTTCGAGATATTTATTGATAGGCCATCCAATCTTTTAGCAAGAGCACAGACCTTTTCGAACTACAAACACCATAACACTGCGAAAGTGTTGATTGGGATAACACCACAAGGAACAATATCATTTGTTAGTGAGGCCTGGGGGGGGCGCACATCAGACAAATTTCTTACAGAGAACTGTGGCTTTTTAAAAAATTTACTTCCTGGGGATCTTGTCCTTGCAGACAGAGGTTTCACTGTCCACGAGCAGGTGTGGTTTCACCAGGCAGAACTGAACGTCCCTGCATTTACCAGGGGCAAACAACAGCTGGATCCAGTTGATGTAGAAAAGACACGTAAAATCGCCAATGTCAGAATTCATGTGGAGAGAGTTATTGGAATTCTGAGACAAAAGTACACAATCTTACAAAGTACTCTGTCAACTGACTACTTAGCATGTGAGGACAAGAGCAAAGCCCCACTGATTGACAAGATAATTCGAGTTTGTGCTGCCCTTGTTAACCTCTGTCCTCCTATTGTGAGTTTTGATTGATTTCTTTAATGGGTAATAACTCGTCAAGTTGTCTGAATTAGCCATACATCTTGCCTGAGCCCCAGTCCATTTACGGTACACCTAAATACATAGCCAAGAAGTGTAGCAAGCTTGTTAAAAGTGTGGTTGTCAAATCCTTCAAGACCTGCGGTATTTCCAATGCCTTGGACGGAACAGAGGACGACGTGGTCTACTCTGAGGAAACCCCAGAAGTAGACGATGAAGACATAGAAGAGAACGAGTTCGAGACAGACAGCGAAAACGAAACGGATGGCGAGTAAACTATTGGGTTGAAAGCCCTTGCACATATCCGTCAAACGGCTCCTTTAGGAGCCACCAATTTCATAAAAGTGAATAACCAATATTCAGAAGTTATTTTTGTTGTGTTTTATTACTTCTGCTTCATTGCTAACTTGACTACAAGCCGGGGGGGTAAAGTTATTCAGTAACTGTATATTTTTAAAATGTAAAACCCTCGGCTACAAGCCAAACCCCGTTCTCCGTGAAAAATCTCCCAAAATTTTGGGTCGAAAACTGGAAAAATCGCTCGGCTTATAGGTGAAGAAATACGGTAGTTGTTGTTACTTAAGCCTGAAAAGTAATATGCATGAAAAGAGGGTGATTAAAAACACTGCAGCTCTATAGGGAGTCAGCTGCAAATCCATTCAAGCAAGATGAGTTTCAGGGCCCGGTTGTTCGAACGCCAGTTAGCACTAACCCCGGGTTAAATTCTAACCCCGGTTTCTTTTTCTTTTGTTCAAAAGGATTTTCTCAGATAATTTTCTCTGTTATTTTCAAGAGTATCCAATCATCAACTTGTTGACAAAAAGAATTAAACTGAATTTACTTTTTAAGCTTTAATGTCTGCGTTCAAATTTCGCACTAACCCTGGGTTATCTTAACGCAGCTTCGAACAACCCGGCCCAGGTGACCAACCTTGACTGTAAACTCACGACTTAATGGTTGAAAAAAATAAGGATTATTGAGAAAATGTAAACATTTCTTACATGGTAATGATTCACCCTTGTCACAAGCTTCAGCAGGTTCACAAACATTTTTTTATTCAAATAAGTTTTGATCAGTATGGTAAAACATTTGGTTAAAAAAAAAATTATGCAGTTGGCCCAGGAATTAATTAAGTAATATTAATTAATAGCAATTGAAGTCAAGCTTACTAAAACAAAAAATTTGTTTTGGTTTCTAAGAGCAGTGCCTGTGGGATTGAGAATCTAGTACCCAGTGCAGCACTTATTTGGGTTCTAGTGCTTAGTTGAAAGAGTTTGACAGTGTATTTCAATTTAGTAAAATCCAGCTAGTGGTCGATATCAATGCTACGTTCTGATTGGTTGAGCTACTACTAGGCTATATGTTACAGCCCACTAGTAGCGAAGAGTGTCGGCTTTGAAAACCAAAACTATGTTTTTGCTAGCTAAGGTTGTTTTGTCTTGATATTTTTGACCAACAAGTTGGTGTCTGCTATAGAGACGTTTTGACCATGTATTTGGTTTTTTTATATGTTAGCTTTCCTTTGTAAATAGTTTTTTATTGTATAATTTTAATAATGCAGCTTTCTTTCATACAAATATATATATTGCAAGGTTCATATTAGCCTCCCACACAGATACTTGACACTGTTTCCATCAAATTTTCTGATCCTGTAGAAAATATGGTGAGCCTTAGCAGTAAATGATATTTTTATCCATGGATAAGGGTAATAAAATTGATCAACTATAAAAATATTATTGAATGGATAGTGTGATCCTCCTTTAATATCTAACACTGGGTTGGAGAGGCAGTAAAATAATTACAACAATATTTCTAGCTCTTTGGAATTATGCCTCAAGTGCCTCCTGATGAACTGCTAGATTCTCCTTCCAATTTGTCTTGTTTATGCTCAATTATCAAAGGGAGAATTTAGTACATGTAGTAATATCAGGAGTCATTTGCAACTGGGGCCTTATTCCACACATCCCTTTAGTACAGAATGAAAAAATGCCTCTCAAGATAACTGGGTCCTTTCATTCTACCTTAAAATTAGTTCTCTACTGGGATTTAATCTTTATGGGTACTACCTGGCAATCACTGTCCCTCATCTATGGGATTTTTCCCAATAAACAAGTACAAGATGTGGCAATGGTCACTTACAGCGTATCATAACAACAAGGGTATTTACATAATTTTATATAACTGTGTGCAATGAAGAATGTGACCTTTTAAACCCCATATCAAGTTCTGCCATACAGTGCATTTCTTATGGTACTGTTCAGTTAAACATTGACACATTTTATCTTAGATGGTCCTTTTATTCATTCTCCTGACCTGTACGTTTCATTAGGCAGTGATAATGTAAGGTCAGGAGAACTTATTTGCTACGCGCTGTTAGGGCTTAAAAGGTTACCAGTTGGGAAAATGTCCATTATTAAAGATCAACGGCTGGAAAAAGTTCCATTCTACTGGACCTCAAACATCTTGAAAGGTGAGGACGCATTTTCGGGATATCAAATTGAATACTCAAGGGGTCTTGCATAAAAACAAGGCTCGTAGCAAATGCTATAGCAAATATCCCACAGTCAGATCCATTTAGTTGCTGCTGAATAGGGACAACATTAATTCCCCTGAAGTCCTGTCCGAGTAGACTTCTTGCCTGTTCCTCAATGTCGTCACAGACAACATCATGAAAAAAACTGTCATATAAATTAACATGGCCACTGGAGCAACCAATGGAACTTAAACATACCCAGTGGTTACCTCCAGTGTTCAAAATCTGTATGAATTCACCACTGATAATGTCAAAGGCTCTTATTGGACCAAGTGTTGGCCTTTGAAATCCTTCAATGTTCGGATTTAACTGTTTGAGGTAGATTTGTGCCTGGTGGATTATAGAACAGTCTAACCAGCCATGTGTATCCTCTATCAATGCAAATTCTCTTTCAGTCAGATTCCCTAGTGAACCCGTCTTATTAACATTTGTATTGACAGTTTCTTTGACAAACAAAACATCTGGGTCAGGATTTGGGGATGATTCTCCTTCCACATCACTATCCTGTGGGGTGTTTGCACTGATGTTGATTGGTGTTGCAGGTGAATCTGCCTTCAAATCATTATCACTTTGGGAGCTTGAATCATTAATAATAGGGGCTGACATTACACTATCGGGTGTTCCAGCTGGTTCTCCTACCAAATCAGAATTCCCTTGAGCTGGTGTTGATGGTCTACTTTTAGGTGCTGTAATCTTGCAGTTATAGCAAAGCCAGGTTGTTCTTGCATTGCTTGGATAACGTTTGTAAGACATGCAGGACAGATGAAAAAATTTACCATTTGAGCACTGTTCATTATGACATTTCAGCAGTTTATCATTTGTCTGTGCTTTTTTTTGACATGTGCAGATAGTTGCAAGTTTTGTTGCCTCACTTAGGAATTGATCCTTCATTTCAGGCAATTTCTTGCTTTTTGCCCTGGTAAATTGGGGCAACTTTCTACAATGAGGGTAGTACCACATTTTTGGAACTGTTACATTCTTGATACCCAAACAGGATGGATGAAATTTGGATATTTTGCATGTGTGGTTGGCACATGTTATTGGTGCTTCACTAGTTGTTTCCCTGCAGTAACAGTCACCAGGTTTTGTGACTTCTTCTGGGGAAAGCTGGGCTTTTAAATCCATCTTTCGGGTATACCATCTTCCCAATATTTCTGGTAATATGCAAATTCTCCAGAAAGTCTCTAGTTTGGGAATTTGTGTTTCCCAGTGTTTCATGTCTGGAGCAAGCCTTTCCAAGAAAAATTTCGTTTTTTGCCCATCTGAGGCGCACACAATAAAATCTAAATATCCTCTCCCACTTGTATGGATTTGTTGTTGTGCTTGGTAATAATAGTCATGATCTCTTTTGAGTTGGAAACAAGATTCATTTTTCTGCAAACAGGAAGATTTCTTTTGCACATAACTGTCAAAGTCAACTCCATCAATGCAGTAGGGGCACTTGACTTCCCCACATCCCTGTCCACAGCAATCACATTCACAGAGAAAATCTGGAGTGGCATGTAAAAATTGGTACTTCTTGTTTATAATTGTTCCACATTTAGTTATAACAAAGTTAGCATGAGTTTTTCGCATTGTTTTTTCATACTCTGCGATGGCAATATCCTCATGTTTGCATCCATATCTTGTGGCTGCTGTGGAAAAGCGAAAAATATCTGGATAACAAATAGCTTTGACCAGAGACTGGGAGGGCTGTGAAGGATCTGTATGACTGGCTGCACGGCATTTGGAAGCCCCTACTCTTCCAGCCCTGTGTCTAAAAAAAGCACTCCCTTTGGCCTGATCCACGGTTTCCCTTTCGATTGACTTAATATCTTCATCAGATAGGTTCAATTGTACTTTATTACACTCCTTTAGAAGATCAGTATATGAAAGATCTAGATACTTGGGATCAAACAAGTCTGTCACCGCCTTAATGTTTCTAGTACTTGAAATAAATGAATCAGCAAATGGGTGAATTAAACTTAAACATACTGGTTTAATTTTGCATTCACTCAAAGAGTGATAAAAAGCATCCATTTCTTCAGCAGAAGGTTCTAGAGATGATGACATTTTCACTTCTTGACGTTTAGGTGTGGAGGTGTGAGATGGTGGACTTGAATCAACAACAGGGAAAGCAACCGTTTCAATGGACTTATCGAGGTCGGCTTTTAGTGTCTTTGCAGAAGAAAAATTAATTTCTTTGATCCTTGCGTAGTCCACTTGCTTAACTGTGGTAGGCAACAGCCACGTACATTTTATTTGGGTGCTGGCAAGCTTCCCATTTAATCTCGTCCACACTTCAATATAAAAAAGTACACTTGCGATATGAGAACAGCATTCTCCCAGCCCGGTCATACACCCAGCACAGTGAGCTGAAAGAACAGTTCCTTCTTTGGTTGATATTATCCACAATGGCACGTGTGGATCATTCATACGTTGGGAATGTCTCACTTTTGCGAGAACCACGTATTTATCTCGCAATGTTTGTCCACGAACACTTGTAATAAAGCCGGCACCATATGGTTGTACGCGAGGAGACTTCTGAAATTTTTAAACTGCTCCTTTGTATAAAAACTCGTATCGAGCACTAGATATGACAGAAGATCGCACGACTCGACTGGAGGAAGACATTCCGGAGTACAGTTTTCTTGCGGAATAAGGAAAGGGTCGATACCAATGGCCGCTATTTTCTCCACATATCTTCTCCTTATGTTGCCCTGTAATGACTCGCCATAGGCAGACAGAATAAACTTGGAATTTGTCTCGCTCTCAGAAGGACACGCTTCAGTTGCCGCCATTATAAATAGAACATTACTCCTCCAAGATGGCGGGGCCTCGTTTTTGGAATTTTTGTGACGTCACGCGAACATACACTATACTATGAGTATGGGGCTCTGTCCCACGCGCGCTTCGCGCGCGAGGGACCCCCGCTAAAAATTGACTTGACTTGACTCAGGACTTGACTTGAGGGATCTAGATGTAAGGTAATATAAAGTTATGAGCATTGATCAAGTCGAGCTCGTCTGACATAGAGTTGAAAACGTTTGCGACTTGTTGGCAAAAGCCTAGCATTTAAATTTTTGAGGTTATAAATATCTGGCCTCCCCGCAGACGTCCTTTGGGGTTCGTTTGTCACGCATTCATTTCTGAATGAATGCGTGACAAACGAACCCCAAAGGACGTCTGCGGGGAGGCTAATAAATATCGTTATAAATCTATAATGGTGGGTGTTAACACGGACGGATTAGGCTTCAGTTAGATTTGTTAACATGAATTGCATACTCTTGACTTGAGTTGTTTAATAATTCATTAACATTATGGTGAGTAAGTTTTTTCTTCAATGTACTACTCAACATTTTCCAAATTCAGATAAAATTTGTCTGATCAACCATGTACGTTAATCTGTTTGGACTATGTGTTGCCATTTACTTCTTTCGTGGTCAATTTACCAGTGTTATCTACTCAGTGAGCTCCACCTCAGCCTTTATTGCAAGACAGGTGAATCATTTTTAAAATTATCGAATACCAAGTAGAATAAAAGTAAATTGACTAATTCTTACGAAGCAAAAAGAAAAATCGAATGGTAACGTGGTCAATCTATTTTATGAAACACTCAGGCAGATCTCTCCCCAATGCTCTCCCTTTTTCCTTCCTCCATACCCCCTACCCCTTTCGAAGCCTGCTACACAGGCTAGTGAGTTCTTTAATTTTTCGTCTCATTTCGAATGATTGCGTCATAATAAGGTCATGACAGGAACGTTTAACCAACCCTTTCTCATCCTTCATCATCCCTGGCTTGGGAACGATATTACTGGTGAGCTCAATCACCATTTCAAAGTTTGATCAAGCCTTTGTTTTAAGCCGGCGGGGAAAACGCGAAGCCTTTGATTTGAAATTGATTTTTTCTTTCTTGATTCTCATGTAAGTAAAAATAGCTACTTGTAACTTGCTGTGATTTATTTACCCAAGGAGCACTTAAGAGCACTTAAGAACTCGTTGAAACGTGTCCGTGCATTTCAAATCGAACTGAAATTTCCAAGCGTTGGTTTTTAGGGAGAGTGGAAAACCGGAGTACTCGGAAAAAAAACCCTCGAAGCAAGGAAGAGAACCAACGACAAATTCAACCCACACATGGTGTCGACGCCGGAAGTCGAAACCGGGCCACATATGTGGGAGGCGTGACTCGACTGCTCTGACCACTGCGCCACCTTGCTCCCCACTCTCACTCATGCTCGTAAATATCATTTTCACAAGATAGAAATTGACGGGTTTAGTACTTGGCAGGGGTAAGGGTTGAGGAGAATACGCTGCATTTGTTCCACTCACCTGCAAATGGTCAGGGAATAGTTAGAACAAATCTATTCACTGGAACCTTCAAACCGTATAAAACAGTTTAGTATATACTAAAACAGTGGATAGTGTTTTTCGCGCGCTCTGATTGGCTTCTCAATCAGTGAATATCCTGCACTATTCACTGATTCACCTCCACTTCCTCCGAGCGAGCGACGCCAAACTCGCGTAAGTTGCGAGCAAAATGCCTTCCCGGTTTGCTGCCGTAAATAAACAAAGAAATTTCACAACTAAGCAAGCAAGCTGTTTTCGAAATACACGAAGAAGGTGACGAAGGTCGGATTGGAAGTTTTAACAGGTAAAGCTTTGTCTTTTTGACACGAATTTATCAATAAAACCGGTGAAAAAGATTTTTGTTTAAAAATGCAAATTAAGTTTAAGTCTTGCGTTACTTTATTTAGTTGAGTTGTTCATAAATAAGCTTAAAACTAAATTTAATAATCTTTTTTTATAGAATGATTTTAAATACAAAAAGAATTCACAACTCCTTTTGAAGAAATTTCCCCGCAAGAGCTAAACAAATGCCTTCAAAAGTTTTAATTGTCGGCAAGAAAAAGCGACGGCCGCGCGCGGTCGCCCGGTCATTACGCGCCAAAATTGTAATCGTTGGCAACAGTATTTGAGTTAAAAACCATCATTTTTGTGCTCAATTATCTCACTGTTTTAGTATATACTAAAACAATTATTCACCTCAGTGTCGGTGGCTAGTCGTGGATATTTACCTCACTGCTTCGCAGTTCGGCAAATTTACACGACTAGCCACCTCCACTTCGGTGAATAACTGTTATTTATTCCTTACGACAGTTAGTCTCCCCCGCCCCTCTTCGCCACATATGAATACTGTTGAGACCAACACCAAATATCCGTCGACCAGAGGCAACATTCTGTACTCAGAGTATATTATAAATACGTTATTGACCAAGCGTGAGGTCAAGATAGCTGGATTTTAGCCATTTTTTTTTT